GGAACCTTCCCTGTATGTGAACTGAAATGTGTCATCAACTCCACCATCGGCTCTGATAATTATCTTTTTTCAGTTCAAAAACAGGGGACCAATTAAAGTTCAAGTGCAATAGGATGGAACAGCACAGAACAAAACAGCAATGCCCTGTTCAAATCCAATGTGATGAGTTTGGTCTTCTGCATCCCTTCTTCAATTAATTATCAAAACAAATGCAAGTTGGTCCCTTAATTAGAGATCCATAATTTTAAAAAAAAAATGATTAGGTTTCCAAATTGATCTAGACTCTACTTAGAATTGTAGTCAACAAATACTTACTATAAAACAAGTAGAGTGTAACATGAGTTTGCTTTTTTTTTTTTTAAGTTATAGTCAAGGCATTTTGAGTTAACTAATAGTTTTGAAATTAATTTTTTTAGATGATTTTAATAACATATTTTTATATTAATTTAATTTTTTTTAAATTAATTTTTTTATGTGCTAACTCTAAAACTTACATCTTATACCTAACTTTAGCTATGACACTTATTTTCCAACCTTAGAATTGTGTAACATAATCGGTTGTTTGATATTACCTTTAAGCCGGTGAAGGGAAAAGGTTGTGCTTTCTTCTAAATTTCCTAAACGACTTTGACACAATGTACACAGCACTTTTGGTGGAAGAGCATGGATGTTGTCAAGATATAAAACATGTAAGAAAACTTTAAAATGGATATACTTAAAAAGATCTATCTTTTTCGATTTTTCCTATGGGCTATGTGTGAGAGAAAAGCAAAAGGCAGAAGCTGACTATAGAACCGGGAAAATGACTTATCAAATGTAAGTATTTTTTTATAGAAAAAAAAGGAGTTTTTTTTTTTAATGTACTCTTATATTATGCAATAAAAATTAAAAATTATATTAAACCTTCTGAACTATAAAATTTAAATTAATTTAATTAAATAAAAATAAATTTTTTAATATAAAAATTTCTCTTTACATGTATTAATTCTTACTGTATTTTAAAATTTGATCTAATTTATTTATTTATTTCTTGACGTTGATACAATTTAAATGGTAGAATAGAGGATTTTTTTTTAATGAAATACTACAGTGATACTGTATATAAGTATGTAGTTACAAAATTTAGTGTGACTTTGGATGTATTTGAAATTGCAATTGGAAGTTTTTTTTGTAGTTGTACAATGCTTTTAGATATACATGCGTTTGATATTTTTTTCATATATTACTTTTTTTAAAAACTATCGAAAATCACAATAAATCTATAATAATTTTATATATAAAGTCAGAAGTTTATTTTAAAACTTTCAAACTATAATTTTTATGGAGAATACTTAATCTTTAATATAATTATAAAATTATTCATTAAAATTCAATTTTATATAATTTAATTACATAATAATTTATAATATTTTAATAATGTTAACAAAT